CATTTTTAGGCATGGTTGAAGGTGGACACTTGATTCACCGGGTGGGTGGTGCCAGGTTTGAACTTCTGCAGATGACTTGGTTCCTTCCAGAAGATGTTGAAGGATTAACTCAGTTCATTGTGATTCAGACGAAGGCCAGTTTAGACTGAGCTATCCTCTTATTCATGCAGTAAAGGCTGTAGGACGCAATTGATTGAGTACATGTGATCACAGGGAGAATAATCAATGATCTGTAGAGGACAAACAGCCCTCAAGGATAGAATGAAGCTGTATCTTTTGACACTCGTTACAAATTGCAACCCATTGTACGGGTGTAGTGTTCTTAAATTTTTTATTAGTACATTTTTATAATATATAATGACCACATTCCTTGAGGTAGGTTGGTACATGTACAGAACACGTGTTAATTCTTTTTTTAAATCCCTATGTCCTTTCCACCCCCCATACTCCATCTCTTGGGCCCTTTCTCATTTGTTATTATCCATGTTTTGCACTTTTATATTTTGGGATTCTCATAATAAAGGAAACTATGGGATATTTAAGCTTATGTGTGATTTATTTCACTTAACGTTATGGTGCATCTGGACTTAGAGTTATACTACAAAACTGTAGTGATAAAAACAGCATGGCATTGGCAAAAAACAGACTCATGGATCAGTGGAACAGAATAGAAGATGTGGAGCAACCCCAGAACATTCAATTATCTGACTTTTGACAAAAGGACCAAAAAACTATTCTGGAGGAAAGACAGCCTCTTTAACAAAGGATGTGTGTATTCACCCTCCTGATGCACTGTAGGGAGTGGCTCAGAATGGCAGCTGCTGCCCTGCCCCTCCCACCTGAGGGCATTTTGTGTGTCAGCCTACGTTTCCCATGACCCTCCCCTTGCCTACAATGCGCATGAGGTAAGCAACTTCCCGCTTCAGCCTACATTTCCCATGATCCTCAGGTCTGCCTACATTACCCATAATCCTCTCCTGCTTACATCATATATCCGGATGTGACGATGACCTATCAGATAACACTCCGTGCCCTCTTCCTGCCCCATTGGCCCGCCTCCACCCTATATAAGTTGTAGCCATTTTAAAAATAAACGAGGTTTGAATGGAATCCCGCCAAGCCTCCGTCTCTCTTTTCTCTTGCCTCCGTCTCTCTTTTCTCTTGCCCTGCCCTTCATCCCCGTTCCCCTCTCCAGGCGAAGGCCCACAGACTGATCCGCGGGATGGATCAATGCACACCTATAGTTTTCTTTGTTGCACTAGCAGACCAGCCCTGTGAAAGTAGCTTTACTTTAAAGATGGTAATGCTAGAGCCTGTCCAAATGGTGCTTGGAACCCTCTAGAGTTAGAGAGAGACGGCTGGCGCTCCTGATGTGATGCTCTGGAGGAGGCAAGAGGGGGTTTACTCCCCTCTAGGGTCTGTGAGGGAGGAAGAGCAAAGAGGGCGTCCACAGGGAGGTCAGATGTGACTTGGTTAAAAGGATATCATCGGCCCAGAGTGATCTGGGCACTCTGCAAGGCTGAGGAAGGAATTCTGCAAATTTGAGCCCAACCTGCTCTTTAGGGAGGCCTTGTCTCAAAATAAAAAAGATCTGGGGATGCAACTCAGTGTGAAGGCTCTGGGTTCACACAATGAGAGAGAGAGAGTAACTGAGGCTCCGTCCTAAGGGGCATCTGAGAGCTGGTGCAGAGCGTCATAGCTGTCTCCCCCGGGGCTGAGGGGACTGGGTATTTGCACACAGCACTGTCCTCCTGTCACTGCCCAGGTCTCCCAGGTAGTGTTAGACTGCATGGGCGGAGCCTCTTTCTGCAGTGTGGAGGCTCCTGGGTAGGCTGCAGGTGCTGAGGCTGGAGCAGGGCTGTGCCCAGCACCATGACAGGAAGCGGGCGAGAGGCGGGTCCACCGCCGCCCTGACCCTGTGTGCCGTGGTGGGGGCAGTGAGGAGGAAAGCCAAGAAGATGCGACAAGACACAGACACAGCCGCTGACAGTGGATGCGGTTGTAGCAGGACCGGACAGCCACCCATGGCCACGGGGGAACCAGAACACAGCTCTGCTGGCTCCCTCCGATCTGCGCTGTGCAGGGTAGCGAGAACAGAATCAAGCACGGCAGTCCTACCTGTGCAGACCATTAAGGCAGACTGGCAGTGCCAGCTGGGCTGCGGAGGTGAGGGGAGGGCCCTCCAGAGGGCTGCCACAGGCTGTGTTTCTGCATCCTTCGAGGATGTATTCAGAGCTGCGAGAACTCTGAGCCTTCCTTGTTCCATCTGTGAGATGGGCTGAGGATAGATTTGAAGTTGGTACCACAGTGACCAGGGCTGTGATTTGTGGCAAGTAGCCAAGGGGTTTTAGATTTCCAACCTCAGTGCCAGGGATGCCACACCAAGATGCTCCAAGATCCACTTAAGCATCAGCAGAGACAGGGTTCTGACCACCAAGAGGGGTCTGGGCAGCTTGGAAGCTGGGCACCCTCACGAGTGGGCACACTCTCACCTTTATTCTTCCTTTCAGTGAGGTGACACTGAGCTCCTGCCCTGAACCAGCTCCTAGGTCGGACACTGGAGATGCCGAGGTGAACAAGACAAAGGGAGCTGGATGGCCACGGCCCTGCTCATGGGGTGTCCATGGAGCCTGGACCCAGTGACTCTAAATGGGAGATAAGTAAAACTCCCCATTCTCACAGCTGATTCCCCACAACTGACCCTGGGGAGAAGCCCTGGCCTGGTGGTCTTCATCACTTCCTGGCTGTATAAACTTGGGCAGGGTAAACTCTGTGCCTCAGTTTCCCCATGTGTGAAAGAGTGAATAACTAACAAAGAGGGTTTTTAAAGAATTAAATTACGGGTCTCTACTCGGCAGGAGTTAGCAGCCGCATTTCCAAGAGCTGATCTATTGGTTTTTCTGGCTGCTTCCCTGAGCCGGCTCACAGCTGTTCCCTCTGTCCAGTGGTCCCGGGGAAGATGTAGTCCACTGGGAATGACAGAGAGTCGAGGGCAGGCCTCGTAGCCACCCCCTGGGTGAGACCCTGACCCCTGGTTCTAGGTAGAATAGAGCCAGAACGTATCACTCGGTGACGAAGGGCTGAGGAATCACGATCAGATAGACCTGGGGTCACCTCCCAGCTCGGCTTCCTCTCAGCTGTGCGACCCCGGGAAGTCTGCTTTGCTTTCGGGGGCTCTAGATTCCTCAGCTTTGAAACTGCGACCCTAGATCGTGTCCTTCACAGGATGGTTGACCATTTGTTGGTGGCTGGGCTGCAAACCACCTCAGGTTCAGTTGTTTGAGACCACAGCCATCTGTGCCTCCCACAGATCTGTGGATCATAGGTTTGGGCGGGATTCAGCCAGATGCATCTTGTGCTGGCTGTGGTTGGGTTTGGTGGGGGTCCTGTGGTCACTGGGTGCTGCTAGCCTAGCCTCACTGACTGGTCAGGTGTTTGACTGGCTGCTATGTGGGGTGACCAGGCCATGTGGCCATCATTGTCCAGAGGCTAGCCTGGGCTTGTCCCCATGGTGGTAGTCTCAGGGTTTGCAACAGATGAGAGAGAAAACCTGCCGCTATATCAAGTGTGTCATTGTTCCAGAGTGGACAAAGAAGTCACGTGACCAGATGCCAAATGAGAAAGGAAGAATCTGGCCAGTTTTGCTGTCTACCTTGGTTGTCTTGAGTATAAAATAAGACAACAGAATTTGAGAGTGATAACGTGTGACTGTAGTCCTGGCTTCTGAGGAGGCTGAGGCAGGAGGACCACTTGATGCCCCGACTTTGAGGCCAACACAGTGAAACTTTGTCTCTTAAAGAAGAAAACACATCTAGTCATAGAGGCGTGCAGCTGTAAGCTCAATGCCTCGGGAGGCTGAAGTAAAAGGATTGAAAGTTTAAGCACAGCCCGGGCCATTTATCAAGACCCTGACTCAAGATAAAAACAAGGATTAGTTGAAAATGAATGCGTGCAGATGAAGAAAGTGACTATGAGCCTTGAGTGTCAATCAATGAATTAGCGATTACATTTCTGTCCTCTAGGATTTTAGAAACAAAAAGGCTGCTGTTATAATTATTCAAAACCACTTAACTCAATAGATATTGAACGGTGTGTTAAACTGTAAGCAGAGCCTGGTCCGTTTCTCTCTGGACTGTGAGGATGCCCAGCCCTCGGCCGGCCACAGCCCTGCAGACTGAGCAAGGAACCGCGGCTCTCTGCTCCCCTGTGGGTCTGCTGACCGCCTGGTGCCGAGAACATTACTCTTTATATTGGTATAAAATCCATGTCTCCACCTCCTCCTTGCTGGTTTATTGTGACCCATATCCCACCTTTCCAACGCCGGAGGCCAGGAGCTATTTGTAGAGGCTTTGCTCCTTTCTTCTGCTCCCAGCTCCCCGTAGGCACCTCCTTCCCCCTGTTTCATCTCCTTCTTTCTGCCCGCAGCCCCGCACCTGCCTGGGGGGCTGCTCCTGGCTGCAGCCACAGCTTCGGGAGACTACTGGGGGGCTGAGGGGGACGGCCGCCAGGCTCCCCCAGGTAAGGATGACGCAGGCAGGCAGAGCCTGTCTGCTGCTCCAAACATGCAACTAAGACACAGCCTAGTTAGTTCTCCCAGGTCCCGCGGGCTGGCTACGCCCCTCTGTAAGGGAAAGGTGCTCCCTGCACCTGGCACTGTCTTGGGGTTTCCAAGGACCTCAGAGCGCTTCAAAGCCCCACTGTCCTCCAATGCAGGAAAGGGCTCAGCGCTTTGAGCCTAGAGACACTCAGATCAGCAAGTCAGTCGATGTGGAATTACCCTTCATTACAAGGGGAAAGCAGACTGTGACAGCCTTGGAACCTGAGTGGTTTTTGTTTGTTTGTTTTTGCAGGACCGTCCTGTGAACCGAGAGAGAGCAAGGCTGTAGCCCCAGCTGTACGCAAATGCTCCGGCTTCCGTGTTTGTTTAGGTAACTCTGCTCTTCCAGACAGCACCTGGGCTGGGTTTTTCTAGTAAATATTGATAGAAGCCCCAGAAAGGAGACAAGAAAACAAAGCACGTTTTATTTATTCTATAAAAAAAAAGAAAGAAAGAAAAGAAACTAATTGGGAAAAAAAATCCACAGGCTCAACAGGAGCGGGGAAGTGTTTAAATAAACCGTGAAACATTCGCTCGGCGGAATATTGTACAACTATTGAAATGATGTTTACTGAGGATTTGTAATAACACAGGAAAATGCTTATTCTAAAATGCTCCGTGAAGAAAGGAAGCAGTCAAATTGTATGCTCAGCACAATCACACCGAGGCAAAAATCGAGCTGAACAAAAACGGCTCGGAAAGCGGGATGGGGGTATGCATTAGGGAGGGGATGCCTTTGGGTGGCAAAATTGTGGTTTTTTTTAAATACATTTCTCTATTTTCCATTTTTTTTTTTCTATAACAGGCAAAGCAAGGCTAGCTTAAAGTATAAGACTTAATTATTATTATTTTTTCCTGAAGAAGATAGAACTCTTTTTGGAAAAGCAAGACGGAGGTCAGGAGACGCCCGGGCTATTAAACAAAGTCTACTGGAAATCCTAGACTCTGACCCCGTGAAAAGACATCATTACCCTGTCATTCAGCTGCATGCTGGATGGGGCGACCGTGACACCCTGGTGTTACGCTGGCTCCCGTCCTTAAGTGTTCAGATGCCGCCTCTCTCCTGGGGGATGTGGCTTGTTCCAAACACGATGTCTGCTTCCCAAGTGCTGGTGTGATTGGATTCTTTCCCTTACACCAAGGCCCGAGCAGAATAGCTGGGCTTTTCCTTTACCTCAGGTGGCCCACGGGGGCAGCAGCCCTGTCCTCCCTTGCTGGCATGGTAAGGCAGGAGGGGGCTTTCCACTTTTAGCCTGTGCATCTCCAGATGTCCGCCGGGGTCCCTGCTCAGATTCCATCCCATCAAGGAGGCTGATCACACTGTTTGAAAGATAATTCCTTCTCCCAGCCTTTCCTTTTAGCATCTACATGACACGGGTTCTAAGTATTTGCCTCTGGGCCTGTTTTATAAAACTGCTTGTTTCTCTCCACTAGGCAGAGATCTACTGTGTCACCAGTGCCTAGAACGGTGCTGGCCCAAATGGTCTATAAATGCTTATTTCACCAGTGAATGGATGGATCCTGACATAGTGGCCCCTGAGGGTCTTCCTAGGTTCCCAAGGCTACCTTGCTTCACTGTGATGCTCTGAACCTGGCTCTGGAGACCCAGGTCAGTGATGATGAGTAAATCAGTAATGATGATCTGTTGTTAAGGCCTATAACCCTGGGTCACTGGGTGGGAATAGTTTGAGCCCATTATAAGGACTCCTCCAGAAAAGCTAGGGCATTGATTAGTGATGTCTGCTGTGGGACTGTCAGGGGTAGACTGGCTGTGCCGTGCACCTCTCATCTCAACCCAGCTGAGTCTCAGCTCTCTCTCCATCATGATAACCACATCCACCATTAACTAGGGGCTGGAAGGAATTTTGCTACCTTCCTCTGACAATCATGTCCTTGGTCCCCACCAAAGCTATGCAGTGGGCTTCCAAATGTTTCCCCAGAGTGTCCCTAGTCTTTCCTGGGTCTGGAATGTTTCTTGAACTTTACCCAGCTTCTCCTCCACCTACTCCTCACCAGAGGACTTCCTTTGGCCCGGGCCCTCAGTCTAGTTGCTCTGGTTTCCTGATGGGTTTGGCCTCCCAAGCACACCCTCCTCCCCTTGGCATCACAATGCCAATGTCTCCTTTGAGTCTCATCTCTGAAGTCCTCTTTCCTGTTCCATCCCTCGGAGGTGCATGCCTGAGTATTCCTCCCCCACGGGGCCAGCCACGGTCCCAGCTGGCTTTTCTTTTCGTCTCTAACCTAGGAGTAAATTGAGCTGTCTCCTCTTCCCCTAACCCTGACGAGAGTTGGTGGCCTTGTGTGGCCCAATAAAAGCTCTCTTCTCATCTCCATGCCAACCTCTTTCTCATTCTGTACTCTAATTCTGCATCTTCTCCAAAGATTCCAGCCCCAGCCCAACACTGGCAGTGGGCATGAGCTCCTGCTGGAACCACATAGGGATTTGGGAAGAACTCTGCAAAGACATTGAGGTCCAAAGCATTGCTCTCTCCTCCTCTGTCAGGCCCTGTCCCATGTGCTTCCCACGTCCCCTGCTCTAGGATGGGGCCAAGACCTTTGTCTCTTTGCAGGGACTGAGGGCTATGGGGATAGAATGGACAGTGTCCTCTCACTCCCTACTGGGAAGAATGCATACTTCCTGAGGCTGGATCTCCCCCATTTCACAATTTACCAAACATGATGTGAAAGGAACCTCTGGATGCTCCGGTGGAACCTTCCAGCTCTACAGCTCCCTGATGGGCCGGCCCCTCCCTGGTCCTCTCGTGACAGATGAACCTAATCAGGTGACCACAAGGCACAGGGAGGGCCAGTCCTGCCATGCTCTCCCCCATGCTCTCTCTCCGCCACTGGTGGTGGTGTCCTCACTTCCAGACAGAGGCTGGGTCAACTGAAAGGATTTTGAGGTCCAGGGCAAGAATGTTGGGGTCTGGGAGCAGTGGACATGAGCCGTGGCCCAGGAAGAAGGTGGCCTTGCATGGTTTCGGCTCCTCCCTTTCCTGAGACTTCATCGTTTATAGACTCAACCATGTTCTGTGTGGACCCCTATGAGAAGGTGACTAGTTTCTCCTCCTTCCAGGAAACAATTCCAGGGAACAAGAAAAACTGGGCGTGGATCAATTTACTCAGCAGACAAAAGTGACCGTGGGCTCCTCCAACTCAGCCAATCCACAGCTTCAACCCTCTCTTTTCTGCAGCTCCTCCTGGTCCTGCCCAAACCACCTCCCTTGATTTCCCCCCAGGTGCCCCAGGTGCTTCTGAGTACATTAAAGGTGGGGCCCAGTAATCTGTGTTTAGAAAGGGGCACTGGCCCATGTTCAGAGGGAACAGCTTCAGGGGCCTCTGAGGACACCTAGAGCTGTGGTTGGCTAAGCCACTGTGCTAAGGTTTATCACAGCGAGTCCTGCCGAGGGGCTGCTAGACCCTGGTCTGAGGCACATGGGGGCCAGGCAGGGTCAGGACAGTGGGCAGGAGGGTGCCCCGTGGGGATGGGAAGTGCTGCAGCTCCTTGGGCACAAACCTGGGTGAGATGTGGTCGGCCAGGAAGCAGAGGGTGCGGCGGCGCCCCACACAGTAGATGCGGGTGTCCACCACCGCGCACAGGAAGGCATCCGGATAAGGCGTCCGCCACGTCGCGCACTCATACCAGAGCAGCGTGCCCGCGCTGCAGCGGTACACACTGATGCCCAGGCTGCGGTTCAGGTCAAAGCGGTACAGGAAGCCGTTGACGGCCACCATCTCGGCCGTGCGGTCCTTGCTGCCACCTGTGGGGCTGGCCCGCCAGCGTTGGCCCTGGACTGAGAAACGGAGCAGCAGATAGCGCAGGCTGCCCCCTGTGACAAAGATCTCATCGGCGCACACCGTGGCTGTGTGTGCCAGGGCAAACGTGTCACTGGGGAGTGGCGGGGCAAAGGTCCAGTGGTCCAGGCGAGGGTCGTAGCGCTCCACTGTGTTCAGGCACTCGCCCCCAATGGCGTACAAGTAGCCATCCAGGGCCACCAGCTGGCAGTGCGGCCGGGCCTGGTTTAGCGAACTCACCTCGCTCCAGATCCCCGTCAATGGGTTGTAGCAGAAGACACGGTTGGAGGGCTGGTGCCCTGGCCCCTGGCAGCCAGACACCACGAAGAGATAATTGAACAGGCTGCAGACAGCACATCCCCGGGTCACAGCCTCCGGGGGCAGTTGGGCCAATGGGTACCAGGCATCCTGCTCGTCGTCATAGCAACAGAGGCGGCCACAGTCTTCCTGGGGGCACATGTCGGCTACCACCAGGCACTTGCGGCCAAGGAGCCGTTGCCGGAGGATCAGCTCCCGCTCTGCACCACTCAGGCACCCGTAGATGTCCGGGCTGCGGAGCACCTGGAGGTAGTTGTCACTCATCAGCTTGTAGACCGCTTCCTTGAGGGCCTGCAGGTCCTGCTTCTTGGCCCAGGTCAGCACCTCGTAGCAGTTGCCCAGATCCAGGCAGATGTCCAGGCTGGAGGCGGGACTGAGGGGAATGTGGAAGAAATTGGTCCTAGCCACCAGCTCTATGTGGGGTTCCCCGCTGCACTCGGATGGACCAGGCAGGATATTCTGGGCTGGTTGGGCTGCAGCAGGTTCCCGGAAGCCTTCGGGCTGGAGCTGGAGCTCTGGATTCTCCGCGATCTGCAGGAGACTCTTCTTCCTGCTGACGGCGTGGGCAGAGGGTGACATTTCCGGTTGCGGGGAAGCCGTTGCTTTGTCCCCATTTTCTGTGTCACCAGCTTTGTCTCCTGAGGATGTTCCGGTTCCCAGGGGCTCTAGCACTGGCCCAGGGGAGGGAGGTTCAGCCAGCATTGCTGTCCTGGAGGCCAGCCTGGATGTGGCCCGGGAAGTAGACTCTACATAGTAATCATACACTTTACCCTTCAGCTGGAGCCCTGACCTCTCCGCCTTCTGAATGAAATTCTCTTCCATCCGGACCCATGCCATGGATGAGAAGGTATAGAAAGCATTAGTGGCCCCCTCCTGCTGCTGCATGGCCAAACCCAGCTCCGAGGCAGCCTGGAGCATCCTGGGCTCTTCCCTGTTTATCTCTGTCACACGGCTAAAGATCCAGTTCTGGTTCATGTCACCGCTCCCTTCTGTGGGGGCCACCCAGCCCTCAGTGGGCCCCAGCTCCTCTGGCTCTGGTTGCTCTGGGGGTCTACCGTCTGGCCATGCAATACGCTTGCCACCCCCACAGCTGCTGTCCACTGCAGCGGCAAGTCCAGCTGAAGAATTGCAGGGAGGGGTGGGCTTACCGCCAACAGCTGTTCCAGCCTCTTGGCCACAGCAGCAAAGAGACTCCTGTTCAGAGCCCGAGCACTGCCCACCTTTACTAGAGGGCTTCCCGTCTCTGCAAGTGGCTCCTGGGTCCAGGACGCAGGGACCCCCTGGGTCCTCCCAGCTGCAGCCCCGTGGTGCTCCAGCCCCGTGGCTGGCTCTCTTACGTTTCGGCCGCCTCTGGAGCGTCCCTGGAGAAGCGCTCTGGACAGGCTGGCTGGAGCCCTCTGCTTCCTTCTCACTTCTGGTCTCGATGTTCCCACCCTTCTGCAGTGCCCGAGCAGGCCTGGACTTGTACAGTCTGTAGGCCGCTGTCACCAGGAACAGCACAACAGCGGACAGCACCACCTTGCCCATCAGCTGCATGTCCAAATGCCAGTCCTGCGCCTCCGCTCCTCTGGGGAGCATGCTTCTCACGTTGACCCAGGCCCCCGGAATGTCAAGAATCCGATTAATGATTGCCCAATAAGGACCAGTTCCTGGATCCTGCTGGGCCAAGTGGGAGGGCGTCCTGGGCTGGCTGGGGCCAGCTAGCAAAAGAGTTGGAGCAAAGGTGACTTTGAGTTGGCACAGAGTAGTCACTGGGGCCAGGGATGGCAGACCTCAGCGGACAGCCTCCTGGGATCCTTCCCTGGGGGTGGACGAAACCTGCCCAGAGGCTCAGCCGGCGATCAACCACCTGAGGCCGCAAACTGGCCTGCAGCTGGGCGAGGTTACAAATGTCCAGCCTGCACTTAAAAAAGGAGGACACTCTTAACCAGTCACCTCATGCCAGGAAACGCATAGGGTTGGTTAGTCTACCTGTGTGCTTTGTTTTCTCTTTTGCAAATCGCTGCAATTGGCTGGCTTGGGTGTGGCGAGCCAGGCAGCCATGGATTCAGGTAGGTGTGGTGGGGGATGGGTCCTTTCCCAGTGTTGGGGTCAGCATTTAGCTGGTCAAGCAAGGACACAGCAGGGAGGCTAGAGCCAGGGCCTGCGGCCAAGCCACCTGACCTGCTCCTGACTACCTCTGTCCTCCTTTCTTGCCTGGCTGGTTTTTGCTGAGAAGTGGGTGGAGAAAAGACATTGCATTAGCACTCAGAGAAGAGTAGGACGCATCTTCTCTCCTTAGGTGGTGACAGCCAAGGGCAGACCGGCACCCCACCAACCTCACCCAACCCCCATATCACCAGTGCAGCAGATCCTGGAGCCAAAGTACAGGGCTCTGCCACCTGCCAGCTGTGACTGTGGGCACTGTCCTGAAGCCTCAGTAAACATCAGTGTCCAGTCTCCTTCCTCGGCCTCCTCATCACACGCCCTGGTCCTGGCATTAATCATTAGCAGTTGGTTCTGCTGAAGCACAGAGCTCATTCTGCCCCTTCCCTGGCCAACGTCCTCCAGGGGTGCCCGGTGGACAGTGCAGGGGTCTCAAGCTCTCACTCCCTACTGGGGCCAGCAGGCAAAGTCACGTGAGGACTCCCACCCAGCCAAGGGTGCCAGGGACCCGGCCAGCTGAGCAGTCAGGCAGTCACATGCTCAATCTCCATTTTTAAGTGTCACTTAGTTGAAAAACAAAAATAAAAACCGCTCTGGGGCTCTTGGGAGCAAACACGCACCGGAAGAATTTGGTGCTGAAGACTTTGACCTTGGGAGAAAGTCCTGACTCCTTTGCAAGTGTTTCCTGTCCTCTATATTCCAGCCTCAGTTTACCCTTTTGAATTGCTAACTCTCAGCAGGCCGGGCTTCCTTAGATTTGCTGGTGGACATCCTTCCAGCCCATCAGAGTCAGGTCAAAGGCTATGGCGTCCCTGTTCCCCATCCTCCCAAATCAACGTGTCCTTCACTGGGCCTCTCTCTCTCCAGGCTCCTCTTCTATCTTTTAGCACCTCTGCTGTCACTAAGTGGCCCATGCACAGCATCTATCTTCTGCTGGAGCCTGCTCTGGGCTCACCTGTGAAATATGAAACACACAGGCACCTGCAAGCTGAGGCCACCAGTGTAGACCAGGCCTTCATTGGGGGGACCTGGGAGACTTGAATTTGAGGCTCACAGCTCCTTTAGGGGATAGAAAGTTGCTTCTGCTTCTTGGCAGTGTAACAGGATCTCTGATAGCCTCTCAATTTGCTTGTAAATGAGGACTTCAGTCCTCTGAAGATTCTAAGTTTAGAGTTTTACAGAGCTGAGTTTATCTGACAGGTAATACTTGGTCTGTCCCCTGATGCCTGGAAGGCGGGGATGGCTGAGAGTTTCCCCTGGTGCTCAGTGAGCTCTGCTTCCTACCTAGCCAGGAGAATAAGGGAGGATCAGAGTGCGTCCTCGATGCTGTGGAGAAATCAAGTCATTTAATCCTCCTAGCAATCTGGGAAGGGTGGTGTTTCTACTTGGAACCAATGCTTCTGGGTGCCCACAAAAGCCCCAGGGGCGCAGGAGGCAATCTGGGAGATCAGAAGACACAGGCCAGCCCTGGTGAACTTAGTTCCATAACTCAAAAGCTGGGACCTCGGACCTCCTCTTAACGGTCAATCAAGCCATGGAGTCTCTTCTAGGAGAGATTAATGAGGTGATCTATCAGAATCCAAAAGAAAAAAATTCTGGATAGATTCAGAACTGGATAAGGGAGGTCAGCATAGACTGACTGATTCAACAAATATCACCAGATGCCCCCACGCACCAGGTCGTATGCTGGGATGCAGTCACAAAGGTTGAAGGGGCAGCTGTGGCCTGCTCCCCGGGGAGACCTGGGGAGACCTGGGGAGACCGTGGTGCAGTTGAGGAAGAAGCTGAGCGAGGAGAAGGCGGAGTGGGGAGAAACAGAGCCCGAGTCACACTGGGACAGCACAGTGCGGGGAGGCGGCTGGTATGGAAGGAACGGAGCAAGTGAGGGGGCGAAACGGCGAGGAAGAGGAGCCCAGGGCCTCTCGGAGCTGTGACAGAGCCCCGGGACCTCCAGGCTGGATCTCGGGCCGAGTGCAGGGCAGGTGTGCGGGAGGCCCTGGCGACCTTCCTGTGTTTCAGGACAAAAGTGACACTTGCAAGGCAGGTGAGCACAGGGGAAGCCTGCACTAACCAGCCACCTTCCCTTCCAGGTCTCCACAACCCACCACCCACCATTGCTTGCAGATGTGTTTTATTGTAATTCAGGGACGCAGAGACACACAGGCCCCGAGGTGACTGCAGTTCAGAAGCTGGTTACAGTTCCTGAGAGGAGAGGGCACACAGGTGCCATGCAGGACACCCCGGAAGGCAGAGGGAATGAGGGGGCAGCAAGGGTAAAGGCCTCTATAGCCATCTGTGGGGAGGAATGGGAGAGGCAGGGTCAGCAGATTTAGGATTAGGGAGCGTGAACAACTTGAGCCACCCGGGCTATCTTCATCTGCCTGGTCTCTGGGCCTGGCCAGGCCAATAGTGGCCAGAGGGTTAGAGAAGGAGGTGGTTGGGGAGTGCACTCTGGATTTGTTGGTTTGCATATGGAAAATCTGTTTCCTGGGTGAGTCAGGAACTAGCTAACCTCAGGGCTGGGTTAGGCCCCATGAGGGGCCTAAATCAGAGAGGCCCCTGATGCTGGATCTGAAAGAAGGAAAGAAAGAAAGAAAGAAAGAAAGAAAGAGAGAGAGAGAGAGAGAGAGAGAGAAAGAAAGAAAGAAAGAAAGAAAGAAAGAAAGAAAGAACAGAGGGCCAGATGATCAGGGGCTCTGGGGTCCGGAGAGGCAGAGTCCTTCCTGAGAGACCTCTTAGGTCTCGTCCCAGCTGCAGGTGAAGATGACAGGGCCCCTGGCTGACTCCAGACTCCACAAATCACAACCTTTTTTTTTTTCTTCCAGTCTCTGTTTGGAAAAACTGAAATGAACAAATGAAGACAGGAGTAAAATTAAAAGATAATTGGAAGTCTATATTGCGCTTCTGCAAATGTGCCTGCCCGCTGCCAATCTGGGCTCTCTGATAAATTGAGACTCTTCTGCAGCTCCGGGGGTGGGTAACACGGGCAGAGGCGGATGCGTGCTGTGCAAATCAACACACCCATCATCGAGTGATCAGCTTTGCATTCCGCTGTGCCAGGGCCTCATACTGGCCAGGCCAGGTCTGAGTTTTCTCAGATGGAGGCTGACTCCAGGGGCCGGGGCCGGTGAGGCCCTCAGCAGTGGGCTGAGACTGGAGGAGGCCGGCTCCAGCATCCTGGGAGAGGAATCCGTGCAGAGAAAGGCACAGGCCTCAGCGGGAAGATTCAGGTGTGTGGCCTTGAACATACTTGCCCTCATCCATGTTTGCACATTCGTGTATACACACCCAAGTATGATGCACACCTGTGTGTGTGCGTGATAATATACTTACACCCACCCACAGGTGAGGGAAGGCATCTTCTTTTTTGATACGAGGGTCAGAGACAAGAAGATGACGGTTTGACCCAGCCAGGTGTCCCGTGATTCAGTTCCAGCTACACTGAACCAGGGGGAGAGCAAATGCAGTCCAGCTAGGACCAGAACACCGCACTTCTGTGCATCGGAAAGGTGCTCTGTGCTGTTTGGTGTGGTTTTCACCCTAGCCCTTGGGCTCTTGCTTGGATAAATGCTCCTTGGTTCGTATTGGGCTTCAGTCCATGCAGCATTTCATCTCTAGCTAGAGGCTATTCTCCTGTCAGTGCTGCAGTGCTGAGCTATTTCCCTTCTGGGTGATAAATCGCCACTTCTGAGCTCTGCCAGTTTGGCTGCTGTTCCCCATTACCTCCACAGTCCTCCCCACCATTCTTGAATTTCAAGTCAGCGTCTGGCATTGCAAGGTGTGAGTGTGTGCCATCAGCCCATTTTATAGCTGAGAATGTTAAGTCTCCTAGAGGCACGGTGACCTTCTTTTCCAAAGTCCCACAGCTTGGAGTGGCATGCAAGGGGAGCTCAAGATAATCTTCTCTTTGACCTTGGACCCAGCACCCAGCACCTTCACCAAAGTGGGGGGCACAGAGATTGTTCTTCAAAGAGATGAATTACTGTTAAGCAGTAACAGGGATAAGCAGAGACGGGTGCAGGTGATAGCAGGATCTAGAGGAGGGCGAGCTTCAGCTCTGGGAAGGGCATCTGGTCTAGAAAGAGAGTTTCGAAGGCTCGGAACTGCCAACGGCACGGAGAAATGTCCTACTTACAATTGCCAGCACACAGACCATTAGGAAATGGAATAATGGCGAGCCCTACGTGCCTGTGAATTTGATGCGGAAATTGAATGTGAAACAAACCTGGGTGCTGTCTGACATGGCAGCACGTGTCCTGAGTTTTGCCTCTTGGAGTAGAATGAACTTCAGACAAGAAAGAGTCATGAGCTCTACCTGTGGAGAGCGGCTGCCACAGTGGGCTCGGGGCCAAGCCAGAGTGACAGTAATAACATCAGGACAGTCTAGTGTCCATTAAGGGCTTCTTTGAGTCCTGCCCTGGCTCAGCAAGGCTGCAGGTACAGTCTCTAACCTTCCAGCTACTTTGTAAAGTGGTTAAGACTTACCCGTTCTACAGATAAAGAATCAAGGCTCAGATTCTTGTCCAAGGCTAGGTCTGTTTTAACCCCAAAGTTAATTTTTTCCCCAGGACCAAGGATTGAATGCAGGGACTTTGCACTGAGCTACATTTCAGTATTTTTTAATGTGTTATGTATTTGTATTTTTTGTATCATGCAATCAATCACTAAATGTCTAACTTTCCCAGGGTGGGTTCAAATTTGGATCCTGTCACCTCACTCTCAGAGCGCTGGGGTTACAGGTGTGTGCCACCATGCCCACTCAGTAACCCCTGCCATTCTATAAAGCATCACCCC